CAGTGGGGAGCGGTGGCACGGTGGTTATCGCGCTGCACCATAAACTCAGCAAGCCGACTTCGATTCATCGCCACGGTCAACATCAGCCACACACCAGCCCCTCGTGTGCCCTTCCAGCCTGAGTAGGTGCTCGCTAACAGCACTTGCCCCAACGAGTTATATAGTCTGCATGGGGAAACACTGCCTTTGGCCGTGTCTAACCAGTGGTGCCTCATACGCATGGAGTCTCACAAGCTACCCAGTGATTCTTAGCGAGCATCGCCCATGCATGTCGGATGTGTGTTGGGGTAATTAGCCATAATCCCATAACTGTTGGTTTTGTTTGCCTAATTTCACCTCCAAATGGACACCTCATTTCCCCCTTAATCACCAGGCGACCACTGACACCTACCTGGGATAATGTGGGAGGTCCTGTACGGACAACGAGGTGTGTACGCGCATATCCTTGGCCGACCGTGTTACACAATGACAATGGCACTCGTAACAAAGCTACTTGGCTAATGTAGAACGCTAGCGGCAGCATACGCCTATGGCGAACACATTGCAGTGTTGATGCCTGGTACTCAAATCAAAGTCTGCCGATAAAACGTCTTGGAGTTGTGCGGAGCCATGACGACTCAGGTTTAGCCTTTAAAATATAGATGTATTGTAAAATGTCCTTGAGCATAGCCTGCAACGGTGCATTTCGTATTGCTAATTTTAATTAACAGCAGTTATAATGCACATAGGGGGGTATAACTCTTTTCGCAAACAAAAAATTGTGCAATTTAAGAATACATCCGAAATGTTTGTTTGTACTTGGCTACCGATGTAAAATTATTCAGAGAGTAGAGAGTAGGTACAATTTGGGGTCACAATGTGAAAAAGAGCTTTATTGCTCATCTGATTCATCCAGCATAATTATGCCGATTCAGATTTTTTTACATTTTAGTGATTTGTAGCGCCTCTAGTGGCCGCAGGGGTGATGTGAATCAATAATATGCAAACATAACAATGTACAAACACCCAGATTCTTACACCGAATTTGATATCGTGCGATGGATAATCAAAATGCATTGACGAATCGATGCTCAGATGCAGCCGATTTCTAGAGTGTAGACAAACATACAGACATTAGATAGTACGGTCACATACAACATGTGCAATGAATTAATGTTTAATATGAAAGACAAATATGGTACTTAGGTAATGCGTCATTATCGAAAGCACACCACTTAGGGCACAGCGCAATGCACTCACGTGAGATCACAAAGTTAAAGTGGCTACGCTGCTGAAGTTCAAACTTAGAATGATCGTGGTGCCACTGTGAATGCATTTGAGTCCAGAGCTCGCGGATTCAAGAGCAACTTTATTGGCTCCGACGCTCAAACCTTCTACCTACCTATCCCAGACAATACAGGAGGGCACAACGTACAGGGTGAACCACTTAATAGAATTCCCCGCTACAATAATAGGGAGGCACTGTGGAGATAACGACAACTTTTTAATTCAAAAGCCAGCACACACGTCTCTCACCGATCTCAAATGGCACCAAATATAACGCCGCAGTTTGACTTCCCCTCCCTCTGCACGACGTGGAGCCATCTTCCGCCCTCGCACGATTTGAACACCTGTTCAGAAGAAAGTGAGAGGTTGCGTTAGAAATGTGGGGTGTCTATAAATGGATCGCCGGCCCGTGTTATTACGATTGCCAATACACAGGGAGCGCCACCGGTGCCCGCGTGTGCACGTGAGATGCGTCAAGTCGCACTGCATGGGGCGCGTACAATACAATACGTTTCCACATCCACTCAGCCCGATCGGCGGTGTGTGTGTGTGGCTGGGTGTGTGTGAGTGGCTGGGTTTTTGAGGATAGATGTGTATGTGTGGCTGGTTGAATGTCAGTGGTTGAGTTTGTGTGGCTGGATGTGTGTGTGGATGGGTTCGTGTGGCTGTGTGTGTGTGTGGCCGGGTTCCATCCCTTCTCTACGCTTGCGAAACGTGGACCCCCTTAATGGAGCATCTTCGCAGATTGGAAACATTTAGGCTGGCCTGCCTACGATCCATCCTGGGTTTAACCAGGCTGGATTGTGTGAGGAGCTCACAAATCCTTGAAAGATCTAGGCAAAGTCCCATCGGTGAGCTCCTCCGGCAGTCAAGGCTGCGTTGGCTAGGTCATGTAGTCCGCATGCCCAGCCACCGCATGCCGAAACAGCTTTTGTTTGGTCGGATCGAGGGGGCTAAACGGGCGCGGCACGGGCTAGAGAAGAGATAGAGTGATGTGGTACAGGATGACGTGGAGCTGAGTGGACTTGCCGATGACTGGTACCAGCGGTGTCAAGATCCGCCTCTGTGGAAGAGGCTCGTGAAGGACGCTACTGGGCAGTTGGAGGCAGTCGCACTCCAACAACAACGGAGCGCGGAGGAGTGACGCTCACAACAACGAGCGGAGCGCCGGACGGATAAAGCACAGCAAGTTGGCACAGTAGGAGGCACAGGTGGTGCATCAGCCACTCATCTCAATCAGTCGACTTGTGGCACCTGGGTCTGCCCCGTGACCTCCTGCCAGCAGGCGTTCGACACTTCACGTGGCCTCAAGGTGCACATAGCCTGGCACAAGCGTCGTGGTGACGTCACCGCCACTTCGTGGCGAATAGCGGTTGTTGTTGTGTGTGTGGTTCGGATCGTGTGGCTGGTGGTATAGCGGTGGTGTAGCGGTTAGCGCGCTGCGCTACGAACCGTGACGATTATCTTGAACCGGTAATGAGCCTCCCCTAGGTTGACTCAGCTTCAAATGAGTATCGGTGTGGTGTGTAAACATCGCCATTGGGGAGACAAAGGCGGTCGGGCGTGGTTCTGTCCACCACCACCCCCCACCGCCCTCGTGTACCGTTCCGGCCTTCATAGGTGCTCGCTAACAACACTTGCCCCAACATTCTGTGAAGGCTACACGGGGGTTCTTTGTATGTGTGAGTAGCAGGGTGTGAGGTGTGGCTTTACGCGTGTGTCTTTGCGTTAAGTGGGGGGGGGGGCAGACGCGCAGTGGTTAGCGCACTGCGCCACGAATCGAGTCCCGCTCAAGGCTGACAACATCAAGGCTGACATCACTGGCCACGCTCAATCCACTGCTGGATGAAGGCCTACCGAGACGTGTGTCCGTCTCACGGTTGTGCGATGTCATGAATCCGCCTTGTGCGGCACTTGCACACTGTGACCATCAGCACTGGGAAGCAGAGGTCGCAACCGGGTACCCGATACCCGTACCCTACCCGATACCCGGCTACCCGTACCCGGCCGGGTACGGGTACGGGCAGCCGTTTGCGACCCTGGTGCGGCCGGGTACGGGTACGGGTAGGCCGTGAGTCACTGGTGAGTCACCGTTTGTCACTCATTTCGGGTAGGGTACGGGTAGGGAACGGGTACCCGTACCCGGCCGGGTACGGGTACCCATTTGCGACCCTGGTGCGGCCGGGTACGGGTAAGGAATCAAAACCCGTTTGCGACCTCTGCTGGGAAGACAAAGACGGACTTGGCGTGGTGCGAGCTGCACACCCCCCCCCTTCCCCCAGCCCACCTTCCCTTAATAGGTGCTCGCTAACAGCACTTCACTCTGCAGCCTGGAAGTATTGACGCGGGATCTTTGGGGTTGCACGAGTTTCAGTTAAAGCTTTTAAGTGGGACTGGGTCTGTCTTGCGGAGGGGGGTCGACGCGTTCACGCGTGTGTGTATGTCGGTGAGTGTGTGTGTGTTGGTGTGTGTGTGTTGGTGTGTGTGTGTGTTGGTGTGTGTGTGTGTTGGTGTGTGTGTGTGTTGGTGTGTGTGTGTTGGTGTGTGTGTGTGTTGGTGTGTGTGTGTGTTGGTGTGTGTGTGTGTTGGTGTGTGTGTGTTGGTGTGTGTGTGTTGGTGTGTGTGTGTGTTGGTGTGTGTATGTGTGTCGGTGAGTGTGTGTGTGTGTGTCGGTGAGTGTGTGTGTTGGTGTGTGTGTTGGTGTGTGTGTGTCGGTGAGTGTGTGTGTGTGTTGGTGTGTGTGTGTGTTGGTGTGTGTGTGTTGGTGTGTGTGTGTTGGTGTGTGTATGTTGGTGAGGGTGTGTGATGGTGTGTGTGTGTCGGTGTGTGTATGTCAGTGAGTGTGTGTGTCGGTGAGTGTGTATGTGTTGGTGTGTGTATGTCGGTGAGTGTGTGTGTCGGTGAGTGTGCGTGTGTTGGTGTGTGTATGTCGGTGAGTGTGTGTGTTGGTGTGTGTGTGTCGGTGAGTGTGTATGTCGGTGGGGAGCGGTAGTGTAGCGGTTATCGCGCTGCGCTACAAACCTGGCGACCCGGGTTCGTCGCCAGTGACGATTATCTGAACCGGTCCCGGGCCTCCCCTAGGTCGACTCAGCCTAAAATGAGTACCTGGTGCGATGTGTAAACATCGCCACTAGGGAGACAAAGGCGGCCGGGCGTGGTGTTGGCCACCCACCCCCACGTGTGCCGTGCCGGCCTTCATAGGTGCTCGCTAACCGCACTTGCCCCAACAGTCTGTTAAGGCTATACGGGGGATCTTCGTCTTTGTGTCGGTGAGTGTGTGTAGGTGAATGTGTGTCGGTGAATGTGTGTGTGTCGGTGAGTGTATGTGTGTCGGTGAGTGTGTGTCACGATTGTCTGAACCGGCCTTGGGCCTCCCTTTGGGTCGACTCAGCCTCAAACAAGTACCTAGTGCGGTGTATAACAAAAAAAACATCACCCCCACTGGGGAGACAAAGGCGGCCGGGCCGTGGTGCTACCCACCCCACATCAGTCCGTTTAAAGTGTTGGAGGTGGTGGGGGGGGCGATCTTTGTGTTGGGCACAAGGGGAGCTCATTGAATGAATCTGCACCAAAGTTGGCGAAGCCGGACCCAATGGGCGTGAACGTTCATCTCCCGTCTCTCCCCCCCGCCTCTGCCCCCGCCAACCACACACACAAAAAAAATCCACCCAGCTCTCTCTCACTCACTCCTCCTCCTCCCCACACACACACACGCCCCAAGCCACTCGACACGAGAGTGCTCCGTTTGCTCTCGCCTCCTCTTCCCCCCCCCCACGACTACAAGAAGCTTCAGCAGCCGCGCCGCTCACAACTCGGCAGTCAGCGGCCTCTGGCAGACGCGCACTCGCAATCCTCCTCCCTTTACGCCTCCTCCTCCTCCTCTCTACACTCCACCCACGACTTAGCCTCCGTGTAATAGACAGCGCCAGCCTACAAGTTAATCGACGTATATTAAAGAGAGAGAGAAGAGAGGCGAGAAGCGGGCTTAGAGAGGAGACTTTCCAACGAGTTGAAAAGAAGAACTGCAGAGAAGCGAGAAGTGAATCCACTCCACGGGCGGCAGGTAAGCGCGACCAAGGGGCTGCTTGTGAGCACACGTGTCCTCCTTCCTTGTCTCTAAGGTGCGATGTGTATTGGGGGGTGTGTGCGCGCCTGCGTGTGCGTGAGTCACCTTAAGGGAGGGTTTATGCACAACGTGATTGTAATACGTCGTGATTATGTCACGACAACTCGGGCGCTGCCGGTGGGGTTCGCGTTGTGAATTGATGATGCACGTGCACATGGCACGGCGTTACGCCCACACACGTGTGATGCAAAATGTAGTTCGAATGGGGGGGGGTGGGGGTGGAAATAACGTTCAATTCGGAATTGTGCAAGGGAGTTCATGTAATTCATCATCACCGCGAAGTCATCCAGCAGTGGGATGTTGTGAATGAATGGTGAAATTCATTGGGAACTAGCCCGCAGCCTAAAATGTGCTTTCTGTTAGAATGTGGATTTGTTTGGACGCGAGATTGAAAAGGCGCCAATGCTGCACATCTCTATATATATATGAAGTTGTACAAGACCGCACGCAACCCAAATAGTCTGGTTGGTCGTGAGCAATGCGCGCTTTTTGATTCAAGTGCCTGGCTGTTGTTGATTTGTGGTGGAGTGGAGGGATGCCTGGGTTCGATCCCCCACCATGACTGTAATCATTGGCAAAAATGGTATCTGATCGGATGGGTCCCTTTCCCGCACCACCATTCAACAATCCGCATTGACTAGCATGGCGAAGTATGGTCAAATTACCTCCCTTAGGGGCAATCCATTTAGTAGGTACGCAAAAATCTGTCAAAACTTGACCCCTTCCCCCGTCCTCTGTACGCACGCGGACTTTTTACAGCCCCGCACCCCCTCACCTGCGTACGTACGCCTGACGAACCCCCCCCCCCCCACCCCGAATCCTATAGAACGGCCGATATTTAATCCACGCAGAAACTATCAAGAATGAATAATATTAACGTGTTTAAGCAAACAGTCCACCGCCGGCTGCATTAAAGAATTAAGTTGCGTACCTTGGTCACTTATTTTGCTGCGCTGTTTGTCTGACAGCTGAAGAAACTGAACCTTGGCTCATTTGAAGGCCAATGTAGACAAATTATTATCGAGGCTTCACACCCCCCCCCCCCGTTTCCTATGCGTACGTAACATTATCAGTCGACCCCCCATACGCAAGCGTTCGCATTTGGGTTAACCCCCCCGCTCCCCCCTCCATGCGTACAGACTAAATGTATGGCCCTTTAACTGACATTGCCCGCGAGAGAGCTTCATCCAGCAGTGGATTGACAGAAAGGGGCTGTGTGAATGCATTGTGGATGTATTGTCTATCTACACTTTGCCCCAACAGTCTGTTAAGGACATACTGGGATCTTTGTCTTGTATTTGTGTGTATGTGCTGTTCGCGTGCCTGACCCACGTGCGCGTACGTGTGTTTGGTGTCGTCCGAGTTTCGATTCCAAAATCATATTTGACTCTCAAGTCATGGCGACTTTCTTCTCGACCTGGCTCTAAAGTCGGGCTGAACGATTAATCGATTTCAAATCGAAATTTGAAACAGTTGCGATTAGCAAATCGCAAAGGCTGCGATTTTTAGCGATCTGACAAGTCCTATTACTTATTGGAATGTTTTTATTATTCATTATTATAACTTTATTTATTTAACTTAACAATTGTTACATGTTATGTTGTTCTATTTAAATTGAAGTATTTAAATAAATACATGTTGGAAGCAATTAATATATTTAGCAGTTCATATTTTGATGGTATCATGTGGAAATGCTCCATCGCATGTTTTAAATTATTACACAGTGAATTGAACTAAGCTTGACTTGAAACAAATGTAATCGCAAATCAAATTGCAATTAGATAATTTCCCCAAATCGTTCAGCCCCACTCTAAAGTGACCGCCTGGTCACTCGGGAGAGACAAAGGCGGTCGACCAGAGGATGCGGGCTTTCTACCACCAACCCAGATGCGCGCCGTGCAATTTGACCAGGGAAGTCCTCGTGGATATGGGAGTTGCTTTCGCCAATGACATCTGGGCCAGCAGCAGCAGAAGCGTCTGTCTCAGAAGGCTGACTTGCTGACGAGGTATCAACCAGGTGTAGCGTCTGCTTGGTTAAGTAAACACTTCTGGATGATATTGGTCTGGAAAGCCAAGAGGCTGAGGCTACTTAAAGCTCACCTTTATTGATAGACTGAAAACGGAGTTGTATGTCATCGGACTTAATGGGTGATCACTGACGTGGCAGGATTTGCAGGAAATGAATGCTTATCACGTGGTAAGTTCTGTGCGCCGACTATCTCTGATAGGTTTATCTACATCTGTACACATTTGCTCTGGGATTAAAAAGGCTCACCTTGGGAAGAATTTCAGTTGTTTTAGTGCCGATTATCTGTTCCGGACACTGTTCAAGGGCGTGATTCGAACAAATTACCGTCAACGTAAAGTGATATACTCTGGGTTGTGTGTGTGTGTGTATATATATACTGTGTACAAACAGTACATTAAAGATAAAGATCCCCCGTATAGCCTCTAACAGACTGTTGGAGCAAGTGCCGTGAGCGAGCACCTGTGATGACCGGCAAGGCCAAACACCACAGCCGGCCGCCTTTGTCTCCCCAGTGCCTGATGTTCACCACAACGCATCGGGTTCTCTTTTTAAGGCTGAGTCAACCTAGGAGAGGCCCATGGCCGGTTCAGACGTTCGTCACCCGACCTTGGCCGTGAGCGAGACTCGCTGTGTTCATAGTGTAGTGCGATACTCCAACGACAAAGACATATATACACGCAACACACATGCAACTCACCTCGTTCAGGGTAATACGGCTTAGGACCTAGGACGTAACATTCTAATTAGTAAGCTCTGCAGCTAATACTAGCCCATTGTGTACGCACTGAAATGCTTCCCCCCCGCCCCTTCGCAGTGTTAATTCATTTTCTGCTGTTGGGATGCATTGGTTACATGAAGTCAATTAAAAAAAAGGGAGATCCAACTTGACCTTTGAACTACTGGAGTACACCGACATAAATCAAATACCGTATTGTTGCAGTCCACCCACCTATTATTGGCTTCCTGTAACAATATTCTCAATCGGCGTTGGTTTAAACGTGCACGTATTAGACATGTTTCAACCTTCTATGTCTCACCAGCAGTCAAGTTTGTTTAATGCTGCTGAACTGCCGTATGCTATTGGCAAGAGCACTCCGTTTAAAATATCGTCTATGGGACTCCCTTCCACAGCAAAAGCAAAAATGCATACCAACTTAGGCTTTACGTGAAAAATGCGCGTGTACTCTAATAGCATATTGTGTGCGATGATGTCCATATGTACGTTGTGGTGTTGCACATTTATTCCTGCCGTCGATCGCTTAGTCACATGTTCCTGCAATAATGTCGTGGCATCTATATGATGGGGAATGGCAATGTGCGAGTATTCCTGTTCATTGGTTTTTTACCCTTCTATCTGGCAACAAAACTGACACCTTTTTGCAAGGAGTCATGTTTGCATAGACCGCAATACCTGCAGTCATAATACAAACAAAAGAACATAACTCTGATAATGTGCACTGTCCCTGAAGTTGATTGGTCCACACCCGAGACAGCTTTCCTTCGAGCCTAGTCTCATATGGGTTGGACCAGATGACGCCAAAAGGCGCACAACTCAAGGACAATGCACCATCAGAGTATGAGAGCTCGGGGCAAGCATCTACACTATGGGGACCTCATTTGCCAGTAAAAATATGATAATTGGTTCTTTACCCTTCTATCTGGCAACAAAACTGACACCTTTTTGCAAGGAGTCATGTTTGCATAGACCGCAATACCTGCAGTCATAATACAAACAAAAGAACATAACTCTGATAATGTGCACTGTCCCTGAAGTTGATTGGTCCACACCCGAGACAGCTTTCCTTCGAGCCTAGTCTCATATGGGTTGGACCAGATGACGCCAAAAGGCGCACAACTCAAGGACAATGCACCATCAGAGTATGAGAGCTCGGGGCAAGCATCTACACTATGGGGACCTCATTTGCCAGTAAAAATATGATAATTGGTTCTTTACCCTTCTATCTGGCAACAAAACTGACACCTTTTTGCAAGGAGTCATGTTTGCATAGACCGCAATACCTGCAGTCATAATACAAACAAAAGAACATAACTCTGATAATGTGCACTGTCCCTGAAGTTGATTGGTCCACACCCGAGACAGCTTTCCTTCGAGCCTAGTCTCATATGGGTTGGACCAGATGACGCCAAAAGGTGCACCAATCAACTTCAGGGACAGTGCACATTATCAGAGTTATGTTCTTTTGTTTGTATTATGACTGCAGGTATTGCGGTCTATGCAAACATGACTCCTTGCAAAAAGGTGTCAGTTTTGTTGCCAGATAGAAGGGTAAAAAACCAATTATCATATTTTTACTGGCAAATGAGGTCCCCATAGTGTATTCCTGTTCAGTTACAGTCCTTTCTCAATCCATTGCTGGATGAAAGGCCTCGTTCAGCAGTGGATTGGGGGTTGTTTCACCTGTAGGTGTTGATCATGGGGGTTGGGGGGGGGGGGTGTTGACCATACGGTGTTGGTCAGTGCGGGTTGAAGAAGGGGAGGACCAGGAATGATCCAGATATCACTCGTCGCTGACCTTCGCATCGGTCAAGTTTCAAACGCAAGTAGCTGGGTTCATACCGCAGCAGCGTCGCGAACCACCGCGCAATCCCTCCACCGTAAATGCAAACCCGTTGCGTAATCAGTTTAATTAAATTAAGTTGCATGAGTAAACATGTTGAGTTAAACTTGCGCACTTCGTAAGATTACAAAAAGTGACCTTTCTATCGTAGGGATCATCCAGTGCACACACAGAAACACATGCACACATTCAAATCACAAATCCACATTCTAACACATTGGCTTTGTTCAGATTTTTTTGACCCAAAGTTCCTAGAACTCTTTCCATGGCTATTTTTTTCTGTCCCCCCCCACCCCCCTTTGGCTACCCGTCAACCCGTAAATATGTGT